AAGCGATCTTCTAACCTCTGTCGGCTCCTCGCCAGGACTAAACCACATCACATGTATCGCGAAAGCTGTATTGCAAAAGCTGACGTCTCTATGCAAACACAGCTCGCCGGGGGTCAAATTCATTCGCTCAACAGCAGCAAGCCAACTTGCAGGACATTTAGCTCAGTCTTTCCAGCGCTGCTTAGACAAGAATCTTGGAATAATAACCCTGGTTCACAAAGGTGGAAGCAGAACTGATCCCCTCAACTACCACCCGGTATACCTACTTCCTATACTCTTCAAGGTCATGGAATCCATAGTTGCCGAAGCACTGGTGTGCTATCTGGAAAACTGCAACATCATCACGCCTGAGCAGCACGGTGTCCGTCGACAGCCGTCATGTACAACGAATTTACTAATTACACGCAGTAGTTGGACCGAAACAGCCGACGCTGGAGTAGGTGTTGATGTGATCTACCTGGATATTTCCAAGGCTTTCGATCATCTAGACCATCGGATACTACTCTCCAAGCTCCAACATTACGGGATCGGAGACCCTCTTCTAAGCTGGATTGCCGAATTTCTTCTTCAATGGCAATTAGTGGTCAGAGTTCGGAGCTCTTTACCGGACCCCATACAAGTCGAGTCTGGTGTGCCGCAAGGCTCATTTCTAGGTCCACGTTTGTTTTTGGTGTTTATTAATGACCTTATAGAGGGAACCGCTTCAAACTTCCTAATGTTTACCGATGATACCAAGATCTGGCGCAGGATTCAGGCGAACGCCGGCCAATATATCACCGGTCAACTCAAAACTTACTACATTTCAATGTCAGTAAATGCAAGATGTTTTCCATCCGGCATCAGAGCAACAAGTCATACCGACTCTGAACGAATACACTACAACAATCAACTCTCGAACGTGATTTGGGTGTCCTGGTTCAAGTTGACTTGGGATGTACCAGACGATCCGAAAGGCCTCGAAGACTGGGAACCAACGAGTCGGGCTGTTGCAACGGGCGTTTGGATAAATAAACTGCTCCATATCTAAACAAATGCTCAGTGTATATGTGCTCTCCCATGTCAAATTCGCAATTCAAGCCTGGCATCCATGGTGGAAACACGACCTTAATGCACCGCGGCAGCCACAACGTGGGGCATCTAAGAAGGTAATTGGAATGCGCAATCTTTCATACAAGGAGAGGCTACAACCATTGGGGGTATCCAACGGAAGCTATCGCCGACTATGAGGCCAGCTGATTATGGCATACTTGAGTCTGTGAGACCAACATCACGTGTGCCGCCTTTTACTGCAACTCAGCCCCAATACAACACTGAGGGGCCACTCATTAAAACTCGCGGTACAGGATAGCCACCTGGAGTGCCGCAGAAATTTCTTTTCCATTCATGTCTCGCACCCGCGAAATGCTGTCCAAGTATCGATCGTCTCTGCACCGACACTAACAGTATTTAAAGGACGGTTGCATGATGAGCTCATCCACGTATGCTTTGTCACTTAGCACTACGTCTCCATCCTACGCCATTCAATTATTTGATGTTAACTGCGAGTGCTGTGAATCTAAGCGGATTGCAGAACTACACCTGAGCAAACGATAAATCCATATTTTCATATTTAAATTACCAACTGTTTTACTATCATTGTTATCCGCTTTATGGTTATGTTGATATTCACACCTATCATCCAACGGGACTTGTAAAGCAACTCTTCTTAACCCGTTCATTGTTCTGTAGCCCAGATGCTCTTCACTTTGTGGCTGAGTTTAAGTTGGTGGCTTACAAGAAAACATATACATTCTCATAGCTGGATTATTTTTACTGACATTTTGGACTCCAAATCTTGTCCAGATGAACAATTCTGTGCTGAACTAAAAGTCCTTGTCCCCGCAAAGTTCATGGGAGCGAACAAACCAACCATAGTTGACCCGAATGCTCATTTAAGGATAAATCATGATCGAGAAAGTGGCCATCGACACCCCTCTATACAGTTGTGCTCAAGTAAACATGCTCTTCAATTTCACCAGCTACGCAAGTTATACCAGGAACAGAATCGAGGTGCTGTACAGCATAACAAGCTTTGACCACTAAGGTTAACCGGTTGAATCGACCAATTGAACTTTCTTAGCCGAGAGAGCATTGGACCTCCCCAGGGAAAGCTTTGACAGCAAGCTTGACACAATAGTTATTAATGGGTTGGAAACTAAGCTCATCCTTTGACACAACATGGCCTCATTTGTCCAGAGCTGAACACACAACCAAGTGGCGATTCGATACTCGAGAGATCAAAGCAGATGCCGCCCCGCTTTGCGAAAACATCAAAAAGGTTGATGGAAGGACAATACGAATTGAGCTTCAATTAGATGCAACTAAATTTCTAGTTATCCATCTACAGCATCAACTGGTTGTCCATTATAAGCTGCAGCCGGGATCTCTAACATTGTTCTCACAAAATAGATCTTGATGTGCCGACGCAATCCCTTCTCCGCTTTCGACCGCTTTTGTTCATCTATTATCCGCTAACTGTTCTCTGCACGCATTGAATCTAAGTGAAATATGAATTCACGCATGACAGCCAGAGCAAAATTGGAACATCGCTTCTGAAATTGCCGATGCCTAGTGCGGCCAAAAATGTCCAATTCTTTTGTGTTTTGACTCGAAAAGTGTACCCATGGAAATGTTGGAACATATTGTTGGGAAGAGCGCTCTTTCTGATAAATCTCGTGCGACGTATACAATTATACATTGGAAAGTTGTAACAGGATAGGCTGCTGAAGCGCAGTAGATATTAGTGGAATCAGAAAGAGTCAGAATTGAAAATGTCTTCATGCGTAAGTTGGTCGATCAACTCAGGCAAAACGTATAGACACTGAAATATACTCACGAAGCACAGCATTTGCTTTTTGACTGGTTGGGTAGCTTACTCATCACACAGTTCGTGTTAGCGTCCGAGTTGAACGAGGTTTGGAATAACACTAGTGCCTGGGCAAAAAGCGGGCTTGGACAAATGCCGTCTGGTTGCGTAACTCAGGTAGTGTTAACCTAAATGTAATGGCTTCGGCCGTCCGTGGCACTCTTTTCCTAAACCATTTAAGGTAGCATTGCCACGAGATAAAATACTTCGAAATCATCAGCCATCTTAATATAGTGTCCAGTTTTGACTAGGTGTTATAAGATGGGACTGTTGTCGCAACTGACAGAATCTTTGCAATGCCGTTTGCCCAAAGAACAAAGGCTGAGAATGTCAGAGATTCTTGCTGGACCTTATCGCGCCTGCTAACACCTGCTGAAGCTTTTATAATAGCGATCCGGAAAGCTACTTGTTCAGACCGTCGAAAAATGCAGGAGATTGAGACGTTGAGGCAGTGTTTTCTTGCTGCATGTTTACCATAAGTGAAATTCCCTTTTAGCAGCTGTTATTTCTGCTCCTACGTTAACCGTATGCAAAGATGATGTGCATTGGCCGCATCAGATTACGTCGCATAACCCACCTGACCCGTACGAAATTAAGAAAACCATTTCGCATTCATCCGCACTTATTTCGCGGGAATAACTGAAGTCGACATTTTTTCTATCTGCACCAACTCTTGTGTGAAAACTTCAAACGAACCGAATTCTACTCTACGAGTTTCCATTTCATTGTAACCATTTTTATTTAGGGTACTCCCACCTCAAAATACAACACGACATGTTAAACTTTGGCTTATTTATTCCCAGTAATTAATGAGCATAGTTAACAACTTAAAGATTAGTAGGCGACAAGTAAACTTGTTCTTGGAAAATTCTATACGTAAGTAGAAAGTTAGAGTAGGATATTGCGCCAGTTATCTGAGGCCGCTAATTATTTTCTCATGCTATGCTACGCGTTCGTGGTAATACGTTCTCTAATAGTACGCAAACCTTAACGAAATTAGAATTCCAATGAGATGAAACACTAAACCTATGTATTCATTAGTACAATGAGAATGTCACCACTACGTAAGTAAAATCTTCTGCTCTTTATTCCTATTGACCAAAGAACCTAGTCCGTAAGTAACCGTTGCCGTTATCAAGTTGTACAGGTTTAGTTATTTTGTCAGCCTTCTGTCCGATCTATTTACGCACTCCCGTGCTCCCCACACTAAGTAAAATTTGCGTGCTGCACTTCAAACCATTGAAATTTATTTACCATTGGGTACTTTTCAGTCGCAGTGCTGTACAACAACCTTAGTACGGTATTCTTCATACAAAGATACCTATAAAGCGTTCACTTTATCCAATCCAGGATAGTGCATTTTAAGGGAGTTCCTAGGCATGTAGGTAGAATTAAGAAAAGCAACCAAATGTAGAGACACAACACTGTCACCCATAAGTAAGGATTTTAAATTATAGCTTAGAACACATAATATTCGAGGGAGATGGACATTCTAGATGGAGTTAAAGCAGGTTAAATGGCCTGACACCGGATTTTCCAATGTGTTAGGGACTTCTTGACTTGGCTGTAATGCATCTCAGTAGCTTACCCACAAATTAATTCACTACTTTCAGGCAGACAGTAATTAAACACACTTTGCCTTCCACGTACCCAAATGTATGCTAAACGAAAAAATAAATTCCACGTTTCCACATCGTCCCGCAGACTTTTCCCCTTGGAATTCTATACGCATTTAAGTTGCGTGATTAGATAATTTTGAGGTGCTATTTGGGTGTGATTAGCTTGCGACGCACAATCTTATGGTCTATCTTTATCCGCACTGAAACAAACCTTGGTCAGGTTGATCACTCGGGCAGTTAATGAACCGCATGCAATTTGGGTGTTTTCCGGCCATAAACGCTATACTCCACGACACCTTTCGAACATATTTGATTTCACCAGGTAATAATAATAATATGGACCGAAGCCTACTGTCGCATTCTATTATTGTATCCATTTTGGTGTAATCCTTAAATTTGAGTCAAAACTGAGTTGAGAAAAAGATGCTATCGAAGCTTGGAAATTTTTCAGTTGGAGATCGATACTCCATGAATCCATGCCTTATTGGTCTTACGGTGCGATGACCAATACAGCTGGACCAGACCAATATTATTTTTATGACTTCTTAGATTTGATGGCACTTAGCCTATACGGACTCAATGTACACTCTGCTACCAAAGACTTTAGCTCACAAAACTATCCATCTATTTACGTGTCACATAAAATCTTGAAAACCCTTGGTCATTATGGTTTGAGATCACCAGACATTGAACTCATTCCAAGATTTCAGAAGCCCCAATTTTCTTGCGCTTCTGGCAAACAACATGTTTCGGATTGCGCAGTTTAGCCTCCCAATATAAAGAAAATCGGTACTGCACGTTTACTTTGCACTACGGTTCTTAAATTGCAATCTTTCGTTGTCTTTCGTGACACTTTCCAACCCGTCTAAAAGAATAGTATGATTTATTGTAATTAACTTTGCAGATTAACTCATGGCTTTAAAATGCCATTCACTTTGCTAAACTGAACATATGTCACCAAATATATGTCAAATTGTCTGTCACCACTGTAACTTAAGCACTGTGAACCAGTATATTCACCGTAATGCAAATATGCAGATATTGTGAACTATCCTGAAATTTATGGGAGAGATGAAATGCGACGGTCTGAGCTCCGCTGTATTGGGGTCTTGTGTGTGATAACCGAATGCTATGTGTCAACTTCTCGTCAATCTGGGCAAATGATCTTACTTCAAGCAAATAAACGTATCGCTCGTAGGCATTAGAAACATGATTAAGCAGTCAAGCTTCTTTTCACTTATATCCCACCCATCTATCACACCACAGTTTAAATGACATACAAGAAAATACCGCCAGTCTGTTCAAAGTTGATGATGCAGATTGGTAAGATAACCGAACCGGGCACTTAAATTGGAAGTTGGCCAGGCAAATAGATAGTATGTTCCATAAATGCATCGGCTTGACACTGATTAGGCCACACTAGGTAACATACGAAACTTCCTTTGTATATTACCGCCTCTGCAGAAATGTTCCTGATATGGCTGTCTGCATCACAGATTTTTCTCTTCAACTCATGCCTAAGTGTACAACAAGTTGGTCGGCCTGCATCCTAAAGTGTCCACCAGCGTAAATGAAATCTCATACAGAATATGTCATACATAATTCAGTAACTAAGCGGCTATCGTAGTTAGTACGAATGTAGGTCTGGGATAAACAGGGCAATTCCACTCAACTACTACTACTTCGTGCATTTCCGCCCCTACGATCCTCACTACTTACAGACCACTATCGCACGACAATCCTAGGTTCTTAAATAATCTCTTCACACCTACCTCTGATGACAGTCCCGTGCATGTTCAAATTGTCCGATCAGTGATCCTCCCTTTTGCCCCTTTCTCCGTTGCATCTGGCAGCCTTCAACGTTAGAACCCTTATTTAGATCGTACAACAAACAAGACAAGCTAGCACCTTGAAATCCCTAGCTAATGATCACTTTTATCAATCTAAGATTCAGTTACAGGACTCCAGCAACATAGTTCGTTTGACGTCCCCCGCTGATCTCGGACCAAACATTCCCTGCATTTGTCTGGTAGCCCCAAGGCTGTTGCAGCTGTCTTGGCTGGTGTTGGCATTGCACTGAGTGACAAAGCTGAGGCCTGGTTGCTCTATTAGTTCCCGATCGACAGCCGGTTGTGTGCCTTTGGAATTCAGGGCACATGCAGGATCAAGTAACATAGTTCAGAGAGATGCAATTTGTTTGTGTTTTTAGTCTAAACTCCAAACGACTGCAGTTGTGCAGCGGTTAAGGACGATTTTTTCACAGCCTGACCCAACTTTCGAGTAAAGCAGAAATATCCGATGTCTTTATCCTTGCTGGAAAATTTCATGCATGCGTCGGACGCCTGCTGTTATGTGAAAGTCGTCTCGGTTGCCGTCATTCTCTTGATGAGAGTCGCAATGATAACGGATTGAAGCTTCCCACCATGTATGGAGAAAACAGGCTCGTTCTCACATGCACGAACTTTAGGCATTCTAGGTGACGAGCCGCCACTTATCGCCCCCTTCGCCAACACAAACGTGGCCACAAATTGATCACATAGTAATCAGTTTCACATGACGGGGTAGTGTCAACATCATTATTATCATTATACATGTTAGCTTGGGGTGGGAAACACAGCTAAACTGCCGCAATACCTAAAAAGGTGAATAAAATGCAACCAGTGCAAGCCAGCTGAGCTATCGGTAACGGATGGGCATTCTTCCGGTAAACTACCAGCCGGCTATTATACAGCAGAAAAATAATTTACCATGCAAAATAATAAAAGGCTAAATAGTGAGATCGTGGTTGGAGGAGGAGGCTAAGAGGGATGGGGTGGGACAAAGAAACTCACAGCACGAACGCCACCGTGGTCGACTCCTAGCTACGTCAACATGTGTATCCAGCCAAGCGTGTTCATCGGCTTCCGGACCCCAACCAGGAAGCCGAGACGCTCCAAACGAGGCCAGGTTTGAAGTGAAGGCCTTCATTCCTCTCGACAAAGTCATCCGCTGGCCACCTCTCCTCTGCTTCCATCCACACCCGCGGCGCGCAAACAACGCACGTCGCATGTGTAACACGTGGCCGAGCCATCGGAGCCTGGTGCGTGAAATAATGGTGCTTAGCGGTACATTTCCTTTTCCTGTGCCGTAAACAAGGCGTCGAACACGCTCGTTGCTCACGCATTGTTCCCACCAGATATTAGCTAACTTGTGAAGGAACCGGTGGTCGAAGGTAACCAGCCTCTTATATCCGCTGATCTAAGGCGTCAGGTTTTACAACCGTACAGTTGGGTCGAACATACCGCTGCATTGTACACTCTACCCTGCAGGAAGAGAGTGATGTCGTGCGGATGCCATAAGTGGCGAAGGTTAGCAAAAGCATCTCGAGGTTTCGCTATACTGTTCTTTATCTCAGCTTCAATTCCTCGGGTGCTTATAATAATTCTTAGGTAGTTGAAAATTTTTGAACAACTTCTAGTGCACGGGATTGCAAGTACATTAAATCCACCTACGTCGACTTGGATCACGCTCTGGTCTGTGTGTCCAGCAACATGCGCTTTGGTGGTTCTTCGAAACCTAAGCATCGTAAGCTGGATACCATCATGCTGGCTAACCCCACCATTCAACTAGCCCATCAGTCCCCATCAGGTGCACTCTCTAATCTTCCACCTACAGATGTCCAATATCACTGGAAACTCTTGCATAAGCTGCTGCTTTGTGCTTGTCAGTCATTCTGTGGAATCTCTGGGCCTCCTCTGGGAGGCTGGATCGCTGCATGCGCGATGGAATGATTGGCCGGTTGCAGAGCTATCCCAGATGATTCAAGCCGCGATGTTGTGCGCCGCAACCTCTGCAAACGACTCATGCAAAGCCTGCGTAACGACCGCGAGACGGTGATCTCAGAACGCTCCGGAGATGGGAAGAGCAGCTCTCTCTGCGAATTTGTGCAAGCTTTTCCAAATCATTCGGACCACTGGCCACAAAAGACCTGGACATGGGGAGGCTATTTGCGAGGCTGACAGATCAACAATCCCTAATTTTCAAAGCGAATGGACTGCTGGGTTGGGCACTTCCAGTTTCAGTTTAGTTGACCTCCTTCTTCCGATCGTTTAATAAGTGTGCATGATTATGTGTCTTGAAACGCTTCGCCGGAACCAACTATCAAAGCAGTGGTCTTGAGATTAGCCATTTGAAGCTATCCAGAGCTTCTGGCTAAGACGGACTTCCTCCAGAGCTCTTCAAGTACGGTGGCAATGCAATTGTCAACCAGTTAACAGCTCTGTTCTCCACCATCCGGTGTAACGAGCAGGTTCCAGCTTTTTGAAGCTAGTCGATTATTATACGCAGCTTTGAAAACGGCACTCGTACCTCATGCACCAACCACAAAGAAATCAGTCTAATCTCCGTCGCCTACTAATTGTTGATATCCATTCTACTGCGCAGACTAACACCGACTTGGGAACTACACTCCCGTGAGGAACAGGCTAATTTCCACCCCAGCTTATGTGTGGGCCACCTGGTTACGCGCTCCCAACTCCTCAAGCAGCGGCATCTTTATCGTCAGCTTGCCACTGTCGTCTTTTCAGACATCCGAGTTGCGTTCGACTAGCTCGATCGGCCTGCTTTATGACGCTGTCTGCCAAAATCTTGCACACCCGAAAAGTACACCGTCCTACTTCGTGCTTTATACGAAATTATCGCTGGCAGTGTGAGAGCTTATACTCAGCTGTCTTAATCTTTCGCCAGCACTAGCATTGTGAGACATGGATGCCACGTACCTCCGTTTCTCTTCAAATGTGCGATGGTGTGTGTCTTATTAAACTCTCTAGAAGGTCTTCATGTTTCTCGCATAGATCCTCTTCCCGGCAACTGCATGACTGTCCTGGACTATACTGAGGACATTGCCTTGCTTGGTGACGACTCACAGATAAGGCAGATCGTTCCAAACCGCTTGATGATTGATGCTACCAAGCATGGCAGGATCTTTGCTCCATCGGAATGACAGGCCATACTCCAGGATTAGCATCGACCTGCCCCCGTGCTGGTTCTTGAAAACTTGCAGTTTGAACAAGTATATACCTTCATATACCTTAGGAGCTGTCTATTTTGATGACACCATTGATAAAGAGATTTGTCTCCGTACTTCCAAAGCCCGATCAGGTTTCGCTGATCCGTGGCATCCGTGGCATCGTGGTGACGTTTCATTCTCAGTAAACGGCATGACCTACAATGCCTGTGTTTGCGCTATCTTGTACGGAAGCGAGCGCTGGCCGATCCGTGTAAATAATTTGCGTCGGATTCCTGCCATTGACAACCGTTGTCTGCCGATGATAGCTAGTATATCCTGGGAACAACATGTTTGCAATAATGATGTTAGGCGTCGCGTCCTGAGTAATACGATCATCCCTACTGATAAGCTAATATCGCTGCGCCAACTAAGCTGGCTAGGTCACATCCTACGCATGCCGTGCAAGCTTTTACCACGGCGCACTCTATTCGCTCTCGCAAGGCTGCACTAAAAGAAATTGCGCGGTGGTCAAACTACCGCGTGTTGACCAAACGTCAAGGCGCTGACTTCCAGTCTAGCTGTTTTCGGTCCGGTACGTCTGCCAAACTGGGGAGTCAGGCATGAAGAACATTGCTGGTTGCATACCCTTGTGGACAAGGCGCATAAACAGGGTCTATGGAAGGTTTGCACAAGTCTATGAATTGATTCTACTAATCAAAAACATATACGCTAAACTGGCCAAAAAAGACAAAACGGCTTGCGATCTTGACTGGT